GGTGGTTGGATCCGGATGTAAATTTTACTTCTCGTGTTTTTTGTATCACCTTGACGATTGATGAATAGATTGCAAGTTTTCTCGCAAAAACAACAACAACACATTCCAAATAATCTACTGTTTCATAAGTTCTTCAAAACCATTTAAGTAACACAGACTCGAATTCAAGCGAAACAAGTGGATGTGTGCTTCAAATCAAATTCATATTAGATCTCGTTGGAGCGCTGTGCACAGTACAGATTTACAGAAAAGCCCCAAAGGGGCCAAACCCTCTTCTCCCTCCCACACGCACCACCATGCGGCCTACGCCGCCTCCCCCCATCGCCGTGATTCCATGACCGCCGCCGCGACGTCTCCTCCTCTCAAGCTACCCTCCGCCGCCGCCTTCTCCGATGCCTCCCCAGCTCCTCCTACACAGCCTCCTCCAGCTCCGGGTGCCCCCTCGCCACCCCCTCCTCCGCCTCCTCCACTCCTACAACCCCATTGACCGCCCGCCGCCGCAGGACCCGCCCCTGCACGACGCCGAGCTTTGGATCGCCAAGGCGCTCGCGACTGCCGCCTTACTCCTGCCACACTACCTCCCGGCATTCCGCCGCCTCGCGCCCTCCCAGGTCGCCGCCGCCGCCGCGCTCCGCCACGCGCCTTGCGCCTCCTCGACGCTCCACCTCTTCTCTGCGCTGCATTCCCCCCACTCCCAGCTCGCCATCCCCCCGTCCGCTCATTCCTACCGTTACGTCATCTCGTTGATGTGCCAGTCCGGCCGCCACACTGATGCCCTCCAACTGTTCGACCAAATGACGGACCAGTCTGGTTACTTTCCCAATGCTCGTTTTCTCTCGTTCCTGTCCGGTTCCTGCGCCACCGCAGGCCTTCTTGATGCCGCTGCAGCATTGCTCTCAAAGGCATCCCAATTTGGTTGTTCCATTGAAGCGTATGCATATAACAAGCTCATGGGCTTGTTCATTGGCCGTGGCCGGGTGCAGGAGGCTGTGGCATTGTTTGAGGGGTGGATCCAGGGGAGAGTATATTCTCCGGACGCGTGGAGCTTCAATGTCATCATCAAGGGGGTTTGCAAGGTGGGGGATGTTCAAAAAGCGCTCGAGTTGGTCGAAAGGATGGATGAGTTTGGTTGCTCACCAGATACTGTCACACATAATATTCTTGTGAATGGGCTATGCAGGGCAAAGGAGGTGAGTAAGGGTCGTGAGGTGTTGAGGAGGCTTCAGAGAGATGGTGTTTGCAAGCCCAATGTAGTGACATACACCTCAGTAATCTCAGGTTACTGTAAGGCTGGCAGGATGGGGGATGCAATGGCAGTATACGATGACATGGTTGCGTGTGGGACATCACCCAATGTGGTCACATACAATGTGCTAATCAATGGATATGGCAAGGCTGGGAATATGGGGTATGCGGTGGCAGTGTATCAGCAAATGATACTTCGTCGCTGCCTTCCTGATGTTGTGACATTTAGCTCATTGATTGATGGATATTGTCGGTGCGGACAGCTTGATGATGCAATGAAGATTTGGACTGAGATGTCTCAGTATCATATTCAACCAAATGCACACACGTTCTGTATCATAATACACACATTTTGTAAGCAGAACAGATCAGGGGAAGCACTTCATTTTTTGAAAAAAATGAACATGAGAACAGACATTGCACCACAAGCGTTTATATATAACCCTGTGATTGATGTACTGTGCAAGGGTGGAAAGGTGGACGAAGCAAACATGATTCTAATGGAGATGGAAGAGAAAGGATGTCATCCCGACAAGTATACATATACTATTTTGATAATTGGGCACTGCATGAAGGGTAGGATAGCAAAAGCCATCACATTTTTCCATAAAATGGTAGAGACTGGGTGTACCCCTGACAGTATAGTAGTCAATTCTTTTATTAGCTGCCTTTTAAAGTCTGGGATGCCTGGTGAGGTGGATCATATAATGCGTATTGCAGCAGGGGGTGCTTCATCGAGTTGGAAAGATCCTTCTCCTGTAACCCAAAGCGTAGACATTTCAGTAGCTGTATAGCTGAATGATACAATGGAGAATGTAAGGAACAGCATCTTGACTGTTTTCGGTGCGAATTACGGGGCATCTGGCGCTTGTCCAAATAAGAAGAACAAGCTCTGGTTAGTCTTTGTTTTGAATCAAAGGCCTCTTGCATCAACTATACTAACTACTACATTTTGCACATCTGAACTATTTCCATACAAACTCGTACTCCCTCCGTCCGGAAAAGCTTGTCCCTCAAATGAATGTATCTAGCACCAAGTTAGTGCTAGATACATCCATTTGAGGAACAAGCTTGGGACAAGCTTTTTCAGACGGAGGGAGTATAACTTAATAATTATCATGTTAACTCTCCAAAATGTGTTTGATTTAATAGGTTGAGTGGCCTGTTTAATGTTTACTTCACATTTTAGTTCAGCATAGATATATAGCAGCGTTAATCAGTGGTGGTGATTGTGATTAATAGTCTGTTCGAGTCCGTAGAAACTGTGAGCAATATTTTACTGCACACGCTAATCTTATTCTATAGACATTAGAGACCTGACTTGCGAAATTCCTGATTTTTATATACATGTCTAGTCATGTGAACTGTACTGCACCTGTATTCGATTGAAACATGATTGAATATTGGAAGGCATTATACTGACTTTTTATTTTTACACTAGTGGTTTTGCAGAACACTCAGTCGAAAAGAACTCAAATGTAACCATTGACATCTTGGTTACACCAAGGGTATGGAACTATTGAGAGACTAATCCAAAATTTCGTGCTAGAAAGAAAAGGACAAGCAGCTTGGTGCTCCGTGTATGCGTTGAAGTGATTCGATGAATTCCATAAAGGGAAGCAAATGGTGGAGCTGTAATTTCAAGGGGCCTGCTGATCAGCTGCAGTAGTGCTACATCACTTGCTCAATGGACCCTTGACACGCTCCTCAACACCTCATGTATGATTTGTCGACTCCCTGGGTAGATGATAAGATCATCCAGTCACTTGAACCTGCCTGTCAAGAACCCGCTTCGTTTTGGAGGAGCTGTTACCTAAATGAGGGGGAATCAGCAGTTGAAGAACACGATGGAAGTAATTTACCCTCTAGCAGAGGTACTTAACTTGTATTGTGCCTTGTTGTTCATTGTTCACTCCAGTAGAGAAAATATTTTAGGAAAGGGTAGTTGATCATTTCAACTGTCATGCACATTGTGCGCAATTTTCCTACAACCATGCCTACAGAATAACAAGTCTGAGCATACAGTTTTGACAGTTACACCTTCTTTGTTTTTTGAGCAAGTTACCCCTTCTGCTGTGATGCTTGTTATGTTGTTTCTTAAACATATTTGTTACTTAGTACTAGCAACTTTCTAGTTTTTGCAACATAAGGTATGGCATGTTGAGGCGCGTAGCAGCCTGGCTTAGAAGTCTCATAAACTGAGTACCAGAAAAGCTAACGCGGGTTTAACTATTTTAATGAAAACATTGTGTTTATCTGCTAAAACTTTGCAAAACACCTTGTTTCGTAGGACGTCAGTGTTAAGATCATGATATCCTGCTAATTAATCATAATATGCTCAATTGAGCCAAGTTCAATGGGTAGATACTTCGTTATTCAGTGACCTGTTATTTCAATACATAGAGTAGTCAATATAGATTCATAAAGCTGTCTCAGGAATGTTATGTGCGCCTGTGTCTTTGTGTGCTCCTTTTGCTTTGTTGTGTGTACCACTGTTTGTCAAAGACATAATTGAGCAGCACACATGTTAAGCTCATATAATAAACTGGCACTACTACATCATCAATTAATCACTTGCTAACTTCTGAAAACTGGCTAAATCTAATATACAGTGTAGCTGATAGCCTGATACAGTGGGATGTTGTCACTTGCCAGTGGACATACATTCGTTTGACCTCTACTTCAAGACTAAAGTAGGTGCTGTAAGTGAGCAAATTCACCCATTCATTTTATTAACATCTGGTGGATTCTCCATGGATGTTGTCAAGAACTGCCATCACCCCAATGATAAAAGCCTGGTCACATCCTGACTGCACTGTCACGTGGTAGAAGTCATTACTTTCTATCAGCTCTTTCTTCCCCATCTACAGTTTGAAGAATATATTTGTTAGATCTCTATCTTTTTTGTAATGCACATATGCTTGTGGCATGCACTGAAATTCTTATACATTTTACCAGACACACTTGCACAGACATGTAGAACAACAATCAAACAAAATCACTGGAAATAGTCAAACAACATTCCTTTACTAAGTAACCAACATCTCACTTTAGATAGCATATTTGTTCTTCCCTGATGTCATGGAATAATTCTTGTTAATTATAATCCATGACAGAATGATATGCATGTACTCAGTAATTTTGTGATAACACAGTCGAACTCTACAAATGAGTTCAGTCCTTGGATGGATCAAGCGTTGGTGTGTCGCACCCACACACGCATGTGTCTTTTATGTGGTAATCCGCGTGTCTGGCGGTCCATGAGGTAGAGGATGAACTGTGAATTTATCTAAGCAACATTGGCTCTAGATCAAGCTTGTGTTTCAGTAGGATGTGCATCTAGTAACTTTGTGATATAAAGAAGAAGATACACATCTAGTAACTTTGTGATAACACAAATATATCTTACAAAATAAATATAACTTGCTGAAAAAGCACATGTAGAAACTTTTTCTTTCAGGGGATTATGAAGGTATGTGTGGCATGCCAGTATCTATCTGCAAAAGATATGTATGTTCTTGTGGCATGCATGTAAATTCTTATAAACTTTACTAGACACACTTGCATAGACATTTATAATAACAGTTGAACAGGTATGGGCCCAAGCCCATCTCAAGCTTTGTCACTTAGGGCCCAAGCCCATGTGAGCGTGCTGACCTAGAAGGGGGCATCCAGTCCTCCAGTTTCTGTGCAAGCCGCCACACACACACACACATAACTCGCGCGGGCAACCAAACAAGAGAGCTCGAGCTGTCTGAAGGTACTGCTCTCCCTCTCGATCTCAACAATAACAATCAAGCAAAACCACTGGAAATAAACACCATCCCTTTACCAACATGGCAACATCTCACTTTAGGATAGCCTTTGCTTATCCTGTCCCGTGTTGTCGTGGAGTAATTCTGTTAATTATGACTCATGGGGAATCTGTAGTTCACAACTAACTTGGCCATATGAAGCAAATATATGCACATGCTTTGTAATTTAGTGACATGACACAAAGGAACTCTACAAAAGAAATACAATTCACTGCAATTACATATGTAGAATGTATTGCTTGTAGAAGAATTATCAAGGTATGGATGGCATACCTGCGCCACTATTTTTCCAGTGCAATCAATTATTGTGCAGTTCCTATCTGCAAAAGATCCACAGATCTCGAAATCCCAATTATTGCAGTGCCTCTTTGGTTCAATGTGAATTCTAACCGGTGCACCTTTTGCTATGCATGATTTGGGATCAGTTAGGCTAAAGACCAACTTGTTTTTCCCTTGGTAATCCATTGAGTACCCATTCCATTTGTTCCGCGTGCTTAGAGCCTGTACAATTCCTCCCTGTAATGGAGCACACAGAGAGTTTCATTCTGGTGATATTCAAAGAAATATAGGGTATACGGACATGAGTGAGAGAGATC